CTCATTCATTTGTTTATCTTCTTATCGGAAGAGCTCTTCATGACTTTGAAGCCTGCTAAGATGTTATAGTCCGGTGAGAACTGTTATTTAATATATGTTTCTTGTACAATGTAACAGAACTCGCATTTACTTACGCTGTGAAACTAGGATGAGTTACTAGACACATTTATACAAGTTATTGGACACGTTTTTATTTTACCTTCTTACTATTATCTACCGTTTTTGGTTGTGTGATATATTTATCACAAGTACTTATTTTAACTGAATTTCAGTAAGTTTATATATCTTTTTGTCGCACATATTAATTGCTTAATTTTACAGATTTGAACACAAAATTTTCATTTGACTTGTAGGATTTAATGGTGAACCAAAACATTTCTTTTTACACTTTCTATGATTGTTGGATATTCATCATGTTGTGGACTCCTAATTTTATGATGAATTTATATAAAATAATTTCAATATACTTTTAGAAATGTTGCCAAATGTACGTATTTGTACTCTTCGAGTCAGCTAAGTATATGGATAATGTAAGAAACATTTTAAGTTGTATTTTTTTGGGCCGATAGAAAAGCAACCAATATTCCACAATTGTAGACTAAACTCGGGTCAGATGTGCGTGTACAGCTGAGAGCCCACTAGTATATATATATATATATATATATATATATATATATATATATATGTGTGTGTGTGTGTGTGTGTGTGTGTGTGTCATGTTTAAGAAAACAATTTCCTTGATAATTAATTTAATTAATTATTGTAATGAATAATATCATTACACATTTTCCTTATAATTCACTAAAAAGGACAAAAAGAAAATAAACCTGCTCACGCTCTTTTAATTTCACCTTTCTTAATTTTTTTTTTCGGGCAAGTCGATTTATCTTCTTCTGTCGTGCTAGGTCCTCCAAGGGAATGTGTAACTCCCATATCAAAATGATTAAGATGTCCTGTTTCATAAAAATTGAAGTGGACTGAGGTAAAACTGGTAAGTTGCGACGCGTTTTTCTCCAAGATTTTGAAATAGCAAAATACGACTTGTTTCTCCTTCTTCCCAAGAGAAGGCAAATTTTGTTGTCATCCCCTTTTCCCTTTTTTCTTCAAAAGATTGACGATCGCTTTGCCCCGGCTTTTGGGGACTCCATAAGTGAATGTAGTCTTCTGGGGATTTTTAAAGTGGCTCGAATATTGTTTCTTGTCACGACTTTCTTTGAAATCGAGAGGTCCTCTTCAGAAATTGCATCCTTGTTACCGCCACCATCGACGTGATGCAGCTCTTCGAAAAACTTATCACCAAAGCAAGTAATCATTAATAGGATTCCACTAACAAATCTTACAAGACATCAAAACGAATTGCTTAGCATCAAAGCATAACCATTTAACGAAAATCACCAACTGACGTTAGAAGCAATTAAAATAATTCTATTATACATAGCAGGTTATAGAAGAACTCCATAACTACAACAGAGTATGTGTTGGTATTTGGTAAAACACATCTAACCACTACCATTTGAAGACATGCTCAAGCTCCAGAGCAATGAAGCATCTAAAAACAATTCACTGACCAATCAAACAACCCACAAGGAATGTGCTATATGGTGACAATTATTGACGATTTCGCAAGGTACGTTTGGATCTTCATTTATACTACTCTAAAAGGACGAGTGTTAATGAATTACCTAAAAAACTCTTACTTTAATGTATTTTTAATGACATATTTATAATACACTAATACACATCTCATCCATACGTGCATTGCATGTGCACTTTACTAAATAAAGAGAGTAACACCGACACTGCCAAACCTGTTCATCAATTTGGCATCGCCAATTGTGGACATAGCATTTCATATTTTCTTTCTGGCAACTGTTGTTGGCCTCATTCCAAAATCAATTAATCGAAGAACATATTTGAGATTTCATCAATTTCAATTCAATTTTCGACGTCCAAACCCTCAATTAATCCTAAACTCCATCATAGTTCGACAAATCCCTTTTCCATTTGAAATTTAAAACCCTAAATCGATTTGAGGTTTGATATTGAGCTTCAAAATTTGAACCATAAAACTCCTTCTTCCTTCATTCCTTGGATTCTCAATTGCTCATGGCTTCAGAATCTGAAAAGAGTAGCCACAGTCAAAGCTCAAACCTGTGTAAAGAAACTGGCACCTCAAAAGAGAAGAAACAGGACTCTAATTCAAAGAACTCACACCCACAAAAGAAATGAAGATTACGGGAGGCTTCATAACGAAAGAAGAGAGGCCGTGGGTGTGGGACCACTTCAAAATCGTCCATAAGCCACTGATGGTTGCGAATGAAGAGGGTGTGAAGGTGGAAGTTGGAAAAACTACCTGAGTTGAATGTAAGTATTGCGAATTTGATCTAGCTTGCAACTCAACTAGGAATGGGACTAGTACTCTCCAAAAACACCTTGAATTGCATTGTGATAGTTATCCGGGTAATGCTAGAAATTTAAGAGTGGGTCAGAAACATTTTGCCGTGGATTTATAGGGTAAAGTACACATTGGGGAATATCTCCATCTAAGATGTTTGGCTCATGTGGTGAATCTCATTGTTAAATCTGGATTGAATTGTATGGATAATTGGCTTCTATTAGGAATGCAGTAAAGTATGTTAGAAGATCACATGTTAGACTTCAAGAATTTAAAGCATGTGTAAAAAAAGAAGAGTGGGATAGCAAAAAGGTTTGTGTGTTAGATGTGCTAACAAGGTTGAATTCTACCTTTATACTGCTGGAAACAACATATGAGTTGAAGTTGGCATTTGATAGGCTAGCAGAGGAGGACAACAAATATAAAGGGGTGCTTTGATGAAGATGAAGAAGATGATGATGATGATGTGACTAATTTAGTAGGGCATAGGGTGAGAAAAGGAAAAGAAAAAACAGAGGGAAAAAGAAAGTTGGGCCACCAACTGAGGAAGAATGGTATAGGGCTGAGGCTTTTATTAACTTCTTGAAAGTATTCTTTGATGTCACTCTTAATGTTAGTTGCACTAACACACCAACCACACATAAAGCATTTAGTGAGATTATGACAATCAAGTGTGAAACTGATGATCTGTTTGATGCATCAGTGACAAATCAAAGCACTGATTATGAGAAGACTTTGTTTAATATGTCTATGAAAATTAAGAGGAAGTATAATATGATTTTTGTAAAATATAATGATTTTTTTAAAATATTCTTTAACTTTCATACCATTTTAATTATAAGATGGGGACTAATAAATGTATCTAGCACATTTATATAAATACATTTTTCAATAAATTGTATATCAAACACATATATTCAGATGTGTACTAGTATATCAAAAATACTGAGTGGTGATAAAAGAGCCAGAGACGAGCTTACTGTGATCTGGATAAAAGAGAGGCTTGTGGAGGGAAAATGGTCATGGTATGTTCAAGTAGATGCATGTGTCCTAACATGTATGTTCTGTATTGTAGCTGTGTCTTATGATGCCTAATAGCTGTAGATATTTCAGTACTTGACTTGTACATATAAAATGAATGTGCTAATGCAATACTAATGTCTAAAATATTGGTACAACGAAACCAGAAATGATGAAAGACCAGAAAATAAACCCAAGAAAAACACGTGTATTGAATGGTCACATTCTGATGCAGAATCTCGGGTTAGAACTGAATTTTATCCATGAAACAAGCATGCCACATTTTTTTGTCTTATCCGCAAGTATTCAACACGTGTTAAGAGAGATCTCTTCATATATTGGTTTGAAAACGTATCTGCAATATTTGAAAGGTAATTGGTGTTGGATTTGTTGTTAGTTTGTATTGCTTTTGCCTATATAGATATCAGTGTCCATGAGGTGTTAAAATTCTCAATTTTATAACTCGTCATTCCATTTCGTGTATTTTAATTTCTAAAGAGCTTAATGAGGAAAGTTACTGTTCTCAAGCTTCACTCATGCATAATTGTTTATGCGGGTAAAGCAAGTGAGTATCGTTTTTTTCTCGGTGATGCTTTTATTTTCTCAAGTCCAATATAACATCTTATATGTCTTGTTGTTTCCCTCTGTTATGCTTAATGCTTTCAATTTATGCCCAATGTGAAATCTTGTCTCTTTCTCCACGAAGCCAAATCTTGTTTCTTTTTAAAACTCACATGTGTGCTTGCCTTTTCCAGAATAGCTAACAATGGTAAGTCGTTCTCATATATATTTGCACATAGTATTGTCATTCCATTTTGTTTTAGGAGCTTGCAGAATTTCTTGACTGATGTAGTGCCCCGTTCGCTTCTCGTGAATTTTTAGTATTTTTATTGACTCGCTTTTACTTATTTATTTGCCTTCTTTTATTCGATTGATGGCATGCATTCATTTTATTATCACTGTTTAATTATCTTTTTGTACTTGCTTTTATTTTGGTGTTATGTGCATTGCTTGTTTTTTCTTTACTTATGTGCATTGTCTGTATTTTATCTTTATTGCTTGTCGAATCGGTCGTTGAAAACTTGATATGATTATTTAGACGTCACCGTCTTTTTAATCTAATAGATCGACTTATTTAGGTAGACGCTTTCGTTTATTTAAATTATTTTCAATTTTATCGTGTTCATCGAAATCGTTCGGGGTCCAGCGCGTCGTATTTTTTTAGCCGTTTTCCGAGCGATTCTGGAGTTTGATATTCGGCCCATTATTGCTAATTACCCGGGCCCAGTTTAATTTTAGATTTCCGCTTAAGTGTTGCAATTTATTGGCCCAAATCCAAGAGTTAAACCTTATAAAACCGGCCAACTTTATTCTGCATTTTCGGCCCAATAAGCTTAAAGAGATTTGGCCCATTAAATCCCGCAAAACCCGTATAAGTCATTTCTTTCCTCTTCTCATTTTACGCATTTCCAGCCCAAATCGGTCTTCCAAAATTCGATCTCCTTAGGCTGAAATCAGATCGACGCCTCCCCTCCCTCGATTTTCTCCCGAAAATCTCTCCTCGCCGGCGAACCCTTAGCCGCTGCATCCATCAGCAACCGCCGGCGTCTCGCAACGGCCCATCGCGCGCAGTCGAACGGCCCAGCCGAGGAGGAGCACGCCGCCGCGAGAAGCCCGCTGACGTCCGTCCACCACAGCGAGAAGCCTTCCTACCGCCGATGTCCCCCCGTCGCACGCATCAGACGAATTGCAATACCACTGTTTCCCTCCTCTCTTTCGACTAGCATTCACCGTGACCCGCCACAGCAAAGCGCCGAGATTTGTCGGAGACGCGCGGCCTGACGCCGACACGAGCGAGCAACCGGTCGAGTAGCCACCTCCTTTCTCCGGCACCAACTCGCGAGCCTACAATCCCCGCCAGGCCTCAGTCCGTTCACCAACGGCTGAGATCCACCGTGGGCGAGAATATCCGTGAGCAGATTCGCCCAGCAATCGCGAGAGCCACAGCGAAGTCCCGTCGGGCCTCCGTACGCTCTCTCACAGCAGCGAACCACCGTTGCGAGCCTCTTACCGCCGTTCAGCCGCGGTTATCCACCCTCTGCCGCCGCTGTCCGAGCCCCAGTAGACAGCAGTTGCGAGCCGAGGCGGACCCCAGTTTGTGATCGTTTAATCCCACATTCAAATATGGAAATCAATGAACAGCAAGTCACCGTGTGTTGCAGATTCGTACAGCCCCTTTCAGATCCTACCGTCCTCGCGTGTAGATTCCATGGCAAGGTGATTTTCGAGTTTTCCCTTTTATCTTCGTGAATTTAGATCCCTTTGTGTGAAATTCCGGATCTTGTTGAGTTGGGGCGAAGGATTTGATCTTGTGGTTTTGAGTTTAGAATTCTGTAAGTTGATAATTGTATTGAGAACTTTAAAATTTAGAGCATGTTATTGTGCAGTGCGTATCTTTGAAATTTTGAGGTTGGGGTTCATGCCTTAGTTTTGGGAATAAGTGATGCTTGATGTGATTCCTTTACCTTGCTATATTGTGTTTATAGAGGATGCTGAATATGGCTATCTTTGGTGCCTGAAACATGTTGATGATATGCTGATTTTTATGTTTAAATCTCAATTTCAAAGGCATGCTTAAAGTAGCTTAATTACTGAAGGAAAAAGGAATACATGTGTATTGATTTTTGGCCTTCTTTGGTGCGAAATTTCTGAGACTTTTAACTGTGTTTTGTGTGATGATTATGTGCTTGTTTCATAGATTATCTGAGCTTAAGTGTTAGTTTGAAAAAGTTGAGTACATGCTTTAGTTTTGGAGCCAAAAGAAGAGTTTGAGTTATGAATTAAATTTGTCTTGTTTATTTGAGTGATATTGGGGCTGTTAGCATGCGATTTATGAAAAGTGTTGAATTCATGCTGAATATTGTGCTTTAAACTCAGTTCTAATGGCATGAGCTTTTTTAAAAAAAAAATGAAAATGAGAGCTTTTTATGTTATGTTTTTGCCATGTATTTGAGATTTTGTATCATGTTGATGTTGGGCAGGTTATATTCGATTTTATACTTAGCATTTTGGGAGTGCCTTGTATGTCGAATAAATATGCTGCGTTTTAGACTGCCTTTATGTGATTATTACAGAGCTTGTTGAACACGGGTTTCAATTTGAAAGAAAAGTTAGAAGCATGCTTAGATTTATTTAAGTTTAAAAAGAGTTGTTTGCTTTGTTTGTGCTTATGTGTCTTAATTGCCCTTATCTGCCTTAATTGTATGCTTGGGGTGTTCTATCTGTTTTGTAAATCAACCAAATATAAACCAATAATAATAATTTAATCCTAATTTGTAGATTAAGAGGAGTCGTGCCCTTGCCGAACGTGCATTCACCATCATAAGCCGGTGAAATGTTCCTGAAACTGCAGTTATTTGCTATGAGGCGGTGAAAACCTAATAAAAATAATTGTTTTAATTCCTTCTAATTTGATTTTCAATTCTCCCTTGAGCACCAACATTTTTTTGGGTTATATTTTCTGCTTGAACCATGTCTAGACGTGTTTGGAATTCCTCAATTTTGAGAAGTTGCGTCCTTTGGTGAACATGTCAGCTATTTGGTCTTCTGTACTTATGTGTACCTCTTAATTTCTTACTTCCTATTTGTCCCGCTTATACACTTATAAATTACATATTTCTCTTTTCTTGATCCTTTACTCTTAACAGAAGTAATTTTGTTTTTGTTTTACTTCTCTTTTAACATTTTCTTTAAACTCTTGAAATTGAAAATACTTCTGATTTTTCTTTTCTAGTAAAGTGCACATGCGATGCACGTATGGATGAGGTGGGTATTAGTGTTTGTCATTAAAAATACATTGAAATAAGAGTTTTTTAGGTAATTCATTAACACTCGTCCTTTTAGAGTAGTATAAATGAAGATCCGAACGTACCTTGCTAAATCATCTATAATTGTCACCATATAGCACATTCCCTGTAGGTTGTTTAATTGGAGATGTGTTATATCAAATACCAACACATAGTTATGGAGTTCTTCTATAACTTGCTATGTATAATATAATTATTTTAATTGCTTCTAATGTCAGTTGGTGATTCTCGCTAAATATTTAATCTTTGATGCTAAGCAATTCGTTTTGATGTCTGTTAAGGTTTGTTTGTGGAATCTTATTAATGGTTACTTGCTTTAATGAGGTGGTGATAAGTTTTTCGAAGAGCTGCATCACGTCGTTGGTGGCGGCAGTAGTGAGGATGCATTTTCTTAAGAGGACCTCCCGATTTCAAAGAAAGTCGTGACAAGAGACGCTATTCGAACCACTTTAGAAATCCTTAGAAGACTACATTCGCTAATGGAGTCTCTAAAAGCCAGGACAAAGCGATAAACAATCTTTTGGAAGAAAAAGGAGAAAGGGGATGACAAGGAAATTCGCCTTCGCGTGGGATGAAGGAGAAACAAGTCATATTTTGCTATTGCAAAGTATTGGAGAAAAACGCGTCGCTAACTTACCAGTTTTACCTCATTTCACTTAAGTTTTTATGAAACAGGACATCTTAACCATTTTGATGTGGGTGTCGCACATTTCCTTGGAGGGCCTAGCACAACAAAAGAAGATAAATCGATGCCCGAAAAAAAAAGATTAAGAGGGGTGAAATTAAAAGAGTAGTGAATTATGAAGAAAATGTGTAATGATATTACTCATTATAGTAATTAATTAAATTAATTATTGAGGAAAATTGTTTTCTNTATATATATATATATATATATATATAAACAAAACTGGTTGAGATATCTAATGTGAAAATATTTGTATTAATGTCATATAAAATTAATACAAATATTTTCACATTAGATATGTCAACCTATTTTTGTACACATATATATAAGTGTCATGTTTAAGAAAAACAATTTTCCTCAATAATTAATTAAATTAATTAATTACTGTAATAAATAATATCATTACACATTTTCTTCATAATTTACTAAAAAGGACAAAAAGAAAATGAACCTGCCGTTTCACCCTTCTTAATCTTCTTTTTTCGGGCGTCATTCATCTTCTTCTTCTTGGCCCTCCAAAGAATGTGTAACGCTCACATCAAAATGGTTAAGATGTCCTGTTTCATAAAACTTAATGTGGGATGGGGTAAAATTGGAAAGCTGCGACACGTTTTCACCAAGATTTTGCAATAGCAAAATACGAATTTCGTTGTCATCCCCTTTTTCCTCCAAAAGATTGGCGATCGCTTTGACCTGGCTTTTGGAGACTCCATAAGTGAATGTAGTCTTCTGGGGATTTTTAAAGTGGTTTGAATAGCGTTTCTTGTCACGACTTTCTTTGAAATCGAGAGGTCCTCTTCAGAAATTGCATCCTCGTTACTGCCACCAACGACGTGATGCAACTCTTCAAAAAATTTATCACCACCTGATCAAAGCAGTATTAATCAGTAATCATTAATAGGATTCCACTAACAAACCTTACAAGACATCAAAACGAATTGCTTAGCATAACCATTTAGCGAAAATCACCAACTGACAATAGAAGTAATTAAAATAATTCTATTATACATAACAGATTATAGAAGAACTCTATAACTAGTATGTGTTGGTATTTGGTAAAGCACATCTAACTACTACCATTTGACGACAGCTCCAGAGCAATGAAGCATCTAAATCACTGACCAATCAAACAACCCACAGGGAATGTGCTATATGGTGATAATTATTGACGATTTCGCAAGGTACGTTCGGATCTTCATCTATACTACTCTAAAAGGACGAGTGTTAATGAATTATCTTAAAAACTCTTACTTTAATGTATTTTTAATTTGATGTAGTTCGACAAATTAGTAATACACTAATACTCATCCATACGTGCATCGTATGTGCACTTTACTAGATAAAGGAAAATCAGAAGTAATTTCAAGAGAGTTTAAAGAGAAGTAAAAAAAAAACTCATTGGCAGACCCATTGTCAACTGGCTGTGGCCTGAAAAACTCAGATTTTTTGCAGGCTGAAGTACCCTTTTTTCCGTCTTATTGTTTTTCTTTCTTTCTTTCTTTTTTTTTTTCTTTCTGAA